ATCCGAGTGCCTGGCTGTGCACCACCTCCCTGGGGAAGGAGCCAGGGACCCCCAGCTCAGAGGCGACAGTGATGCTCTGGAGGGGTGCAAAGATTCCAAAATAGCCCATCAGCAGGTGGCCACCCATGGTGTGCGGCTGCACCCTGGGGGGCTGGGGGTGTGTGCAGAGATGAGCATCACCTGAAGTCCCTGCGTGAACAGCGGCTAGATGGAAAAATTAGCAGTGCGGCTAATCAATGCGGTGCATATTAAGAGGCTTGGGGTTGCGGTGGGGGGGGAGATGCGAGGCGGCGGGGAGCCAAGCAGGGTCCAGGATCAATACAGCTCATATTAAGTGGATTAAATCCCGGTTGCCAATCTGACCCCTCGCTGCCAGCAGGAGGTGGCAGCTGAGCGGGGGCTGCAGGGGGTCCTGCTGTGATCACTTCCCTTGGCAGCAGAGCTAGGGGGGCTATGGGGGTGGATTGCCGGGGCTGGGCAGCCTGGAGGTGCCTGGGTGGTGACTTAGCACCTCGCTGCATCCTTCCTCTGTCTAGGGGGTCAGCTGGGCTATGGGGCACTGGCGACTCCAGCTCCAGCCCTACAAGCCCCCCCACTCTGGGACAGTAATCTCCCGGGTGGGTGAGAGATGCTAACAATGTTATTTAATTGCAGTGAGGAGGAGGGGGAGACACAAGGTCTATTCACGTCCCTTTAATAAACCATGTTCGACCTGCTGACCTTTAACCCTCCCAACAAGCCCCGTTATCCCCATCCCTTAAGGAATAAAGACGTCGCCATGGCAATGGGATGATGGGAGGGAGCAGGGCCCCTGGAGCTGCACCCAGGGTGGGGTGGGGACAAGGACACCCTGCTCTGGCCCTGCACCAGCACCTGAGTGGTGGTGTGGGGTGGAGGTGGGACGGTGCTGGGGGTGCCGCAGCTTTTCGGGGGGCCAAGCGCTGTGGATGGGGTCCCTGAGGTCGGCTGAGCGGAGCTGTGCTGTGCACCGGCGGGATATTGATCCCTGGGCTTGACAGTTTAATACTTCTGCTTATAGAGGAATATAGTTACATCGATGGCGTTAAATGAGTTACTAATTATATCAATACAAACACGATTAAAAGGGTCCTTGCTCATAGGTCACCGCAAGCAGGAGCCGCTGCTCGCATTGCACAACTGCCCCCAGGCAAGGCCTGCCCAGCTGCTCCGAGGTGCACGGGATGCTCTGGGGTGGTGGGTGCCCCTGCGGGGTGTCCATCCGTGACGGGTGTGCCTGTCGGGGGTTGTGCATGCCCGTGCCGGGCTGTGCATGCACGTGTGGGGTTGTGCACGCTCGTGCAGAGTTGTGTGCACCCATGAAAGGCTGTGCGTGTTCACCTGGGGGTTGTGCCTGCCCACCTGGGGTCGTGCGTGCCTGTAGGAGCCTGTGCACATCCAGGCACAGTTATACGTGCCTGTGTAGGGATTTGTGCCTGTGTGGGTTGTGTGTGCATGTACAGGGTTGTGCACACTCACGTGATGCCCTGTGTGCCCATTCAGCATTGTGCACACCGATGCAGGGTTGTGCATACTTAGGCAGGCTTGTAGGTGCCCATGCAAGCTTGTGTGTGCCACTGGGGGGGGAGAAGTGGGGGGAATGTGTGTGTACAGGGTTGTGCACATGCTTATGTGGAGTTGTGTGTGTTGTGGGGTTGGGCACACTCGTGAGGGGTCATGTGTACCCACGTGAAGTTGCACACACTCATGTGGGGTTGTGTGAGCCCATACAGGTTTGTGCACGCCTGAGTAGGGTTGTGTATGCTTGCTTGGGCTAGTGCATACCCATGGGGGGGGGTGTATCAGCCCGTGGGGAGTTGTGTACACCCACGTGAGGTGTGTGTGTCCCCACAGGGTTTGGGTGTGGCCCGGGGGGGTTGTGATCTGCCACTTAGATGGTCCATCCCGAGCAAGGTGGGAAGGGGCCATGGTGCCCAACCTGCAGGAGGAAGAGGAGGGTGAGTGGCAGGGCCAGGAGCCCTGGCTAAGGGATGGAGTTGGCTTCTTCCTCGGGGCTGTGGCTGTGGGGGGGTCTGTCCTTGCCTGGAGGCTGTGGCAGAGCACCACCCGTTGCCACCACCCATGCCACTTCTGTGAAGCTATGGTGCCTGGATCCCATAGCCAGCCTTGGCTGGGACCCAGCCCAGCCCCATCAGCAAGAATCCCCCAAAACCACCCCCTTTCCAGACTGAGCATCCCCAAATCTCGTGGAACGCCTGGTGCATCCTCAGCACGCTCAAGGTCCCTGCCGGCGGGTCCCGTGTTCCTCAGCTCCACTCTTGTCTCTGCTTAAAAGCCAACCTTTGCTCCCCACTTGATGTAATGTGTTTTTGCATCTCGGTGCCCCACAGATAAAAGGTTAGAGGTTAATAAATGGTGGAAAAATAGGTCCCGGTGCTTGGAGGTCACACCTGTTTTGGGGGCTGGAGGCAGTGGCAGCATGCGACGGGTGGGATCCTGCCTGCCTTGGTGGGAAGAGAAACACCAGTGAGTGGCATCAGGGAGCCCGGCAGAGGTGTGGATGCAGGAGCCCACCCTCCGGGTTGACCCCCCAGGAAGGCAATGGCTTCGTCCTACTGTGGGGTGGGCAGCTGTGGTTGCCGGTTTTGGGGGGTTTGCTCCTGCTTTGATGAGCCAAGAGATCGCAGGGCATGTAAACGGGCTTGGTGTGGAGTGGTGGTGACCAGAGCCCTGCTGCAGGCAGGGACAAGCAGGGAAATGCAAGCAAAGCCTGGCTCACGCAGCCTTCCCGGGGCAGAAATCAAAGCAGCCCCCTGGAGCTCTGCTCCCAGCCTGACCTAGTCACCGAAATCAGTGGCTCAAGGAGCCCCTGGGAAAGGGCAGGTGATGGGGAGGGGGCACAGAGCAGGGCAGGGAGCACCACAGTGGAGGGGAGGGACAGGGTGCTGGCACCCTGGGGTCGGGGCACCCCAGGAGCACTCTGCAGCAAGAAGGGGATGGGTGAGTGGCACCCAGAGGGCTAGGAAGGGGCAGGGATGGAGCACCAGGAGCAGCTGGGGGCCAGGCAGTCGGCACCCATGGGTGTGGTGGGAGACAGGCAGTAGCACCCACAGACCAGGCTGGGGACAGGCAGTTAGCACCCATCTGTTAGGCAAGGGACAGGCAGCTGGCACCTGTGGGTTAGATGGCAGACTGTGTTAGACGTGTCTGTCCAGTGATGGGAACCGTGGGGTGTCTGTAGGAGCATCCCTGTGTGTCCCCATGTTTCCCCATCCCTGCATCCCCACATCTCCTTGTCCCCTGAGTCCCTGCATCCCCACATCCCTATATTCCCATGTCCCCGCATCCCCATATCGCTGCATTCATACGTCCTCATCACATCCCTGCTCCCCCCATCCCCATGTCCCTGGAGCCTGACACATCCCCGCATCCCAGCTCCCTTTATCTGCCTGGTGAATGATGTGCTATGTGGAGGGGGGGGGGGTGCTCCCTTTCTATTGGTTTTTAACGGCCTTTCCCAGCACAATTGTTTTTTAAACGACTCTATTTTGTGCCTGACTTTGTTTTCTAGCTTGCATTTCTTTGTATATGTTTTGGAAATCCATTCTGGACTGCTGAGTTTTGTTTCTTTTCAATGGCTTTAAATTCTTACCGGGCTTGCTGGGAGGAATTGGTGTCTATAGCGCCTTCGATTGGTGCTAATTTTTCCTTCATGTGCTCTGACTTTTACTGCTGGGCCATCGATCTGGCGGGCTCCAATTTGTCATGGTCACCCAGGTGCTGTGCTGGAATCAGGCGAGCCCTGGCTTTTGCACGGAGCCGGCGCGTCGTGTGCCTGGTGTAGGGGCTGCACTCGCCTCCCCAGTGTCGTCCGTCGGCTCAGCCTGGGGGGTTGTGTCTGTGTGTCCAGAGCTGCGTCCACCCCCCACACATAAGTGTCAGCACAGCTGCATGTGTGTGTCTGTGCAACCACATGCACGCTCACTGGCTTGCAGACGCGTCGGTGCTCTGACAAACTTGCCAGGAAACACAAGCACCAGTGTCGGTGCCCACACGGCACAGCACTCGTGGTTTCGTGCTCGTGCGCTTGTACACAGTGCACAGACACCTGGCTTTGCACACATGCACCCATTGCAGGAAGTCCTTGTGCCTTGCAGGGACATTGCCGCCATGCTCACACCCCGTGTGCAGCTGAGGAAGATGGATTTGGGGTCCCCGTGCTCAGCCAGGGGAGATGGCTTTGGGGTCACCATGCCCATCTGAGGGAGGATTTGGCAGTGTGTCTTTTTGCAGAGGTGCCTCACGATGTCCCTGGCCATCCATCAGGCCCCATCTCGCGATTACACAACTCGGACCGTGCTTATCAGGTCGTCGATAGCCCTCTCACCCCGGTGGAGTGGGGCAGCCCCAGCGCTCGCAGCTCCCTCGCCAGCACCCAGTGCCATGGCCCTGCAGGCTCACCCTGCCCCTAGAAGGGACCAGTATCTCTGCTGCACGGGTGGATACATGTCCCTGTGTATGAGGATGCTGATCCCGTGCTGGGACCTGGGGAACACCGGCACTGGGCAGTGCCAGGAGGCTGCTGAGCCAGAGCAGGGCTGAGCATCCCGGTCCCAGGGACCTGCCTGGGGGCCTGGGATTTGCTGCTGCTCTGTCTGTATTGGCATCATCTTCCTGGGCTGAAACGCTGTTGTCCCTCTGCCTAGCAAGGAGAGGGGCAGAGAAACTGAGGCACCCACGCAGTGTCTCTGCAGCAGGGCTGTAAAACAGTTGGTGGGTGCATGGGGAGCCAGCGGCAGCCCCCAGGCACAGGGAGAGCCCAGCACTGCGGGCATGGAGGGTGTGCAGGGGGGTCCCGTCCACGGGGCAGGGAGAGCTGCTCGTTGCTGCAGAGGGCAAGTGGGGCCAAGCATGATGCCGGGTCCTGGCACAGGCGAGGGCCCTGATCCAGACATTGACCCCCCCTGCCTTGCCCACCCGAATGTGCCGGCAGTTCTGACCCCTTTCTCTCCTGCCCCCAGCTCTACGAACTGGATGAGGACCCGAAACGCAAGGAGTTCCTGGACGACCTCTTTGGTTTCATGCAGAAGAGAGGTAAAGGTGGGTGGCTGGGGTGGGTGCCGCTGGCACCCCCACCCTGGCTGCCTGGGGGGCTCATGGCGTGGCCCACTCAGGCACCGAGCTGCTGCGGGTCTCTGCAAGCTCCCAGGCAGGTCCTGCGGGGCCCTTGCCCCCATTGCCTACACACACACACACACACACGCATAAACTTACACTCAGCAGATTTGCCCCCCGTTGCCCCAGGCAGAGCCCCCCACGGGGTGCCTGTTGGCCAGAGGGGCTCCCATCCCCACGCTGGGGCTGGTGGCCATGCCAATTGCCGATGCTTGCTAGCAATGCCCAGCAGTGATGCCCGGTGGGGATGCCCGGTGGGGATGCCCGTTAGCATATTCCTCAGTGATAACCACGAGCCACACCCGTTAATGAAGCCCATTAGCGGTTTGCAGGGCCTTTTAGTGATGCCTGGTGGGGATGCCCTTAGCAGTGCCCATCAGTGGTGCCGGTACCACTCCCCGTTGGCAGTGCCCGGTGAGGACGCTCATTTCGGGCACCTCTAAGCAACACCAAGGATGCTGCAGGAGTGGGGTCAGCGATCCGGGCAGTGCCGGGCGCCCAGGGGTTAAGGGCTCGCCAGCCGCCCCAGCCGCATCGGAAATCTTTGCTATCGCCATGGGGGGCCGAGCCGGCTCCTGGGGACTCAATAAATGCTTTAACCTTCGCCCTCCCCAGCTGGGCCTGCGACAATTAAAAGTTGCCGAGTGCGGGCGTGTGGCCGGCCGTATTAATTAGAGCCTTTTGCCGGTGTGTTTTTTGGGGGGGAAGGGGGAGCAGCAGGGCTGGGTCTGTGCAGGGTGAGGGTACGCAGAAAGGAGAAGTCACCCCCAAGTCATGCCCATGGGAAGAGTGGTGAGGTTGCCCATCAACCCACGGGTCGGCAGTGAGTGACTTTTAGGTTGGGCTGAGACCCCACACTCATTTCACTCAGGGCTCTGCTGCAGGGGCCTAGCATGGCTGTGGGGCTCACACTGGGGGCGGGGGGGGAGACACGGACTGGGTACAGCTCCATGGGTGCCCCCGGTCTCCCTGTTCCTGGTGCAGGGCTGTGGGGAACGAGGGGGAGCATCAGTGCTGCCTCAGCCCCCCAGCATCCATCAGCCTCAAGATTCATGGGCTGCTCCACGGCTTCATTATCTCTCTCTCTCCAGAGCTAATTAACTCTCTCACCATTGGGGCCGGGCCTAATTAAGCAAGTGCCTGGTGGTGTGGGGAGGAGGGAGGGAGCCCGATGCTTCCCTGTCGATGCTGCTTCTCATCCCACCGTGTCCGGCCATCCCGCTCCTGTCCCCTCTGTCCCACGCCTCCCCGCGTGGGTGGCATCCCCCTGGGGAGGGCAGGCGGGTGTGCGGGTGTGGGTGCAGGTGTGCATGTGCTTGTTGGAGGAGTGGGGGATTTCGGAGCCAGGTAGCAAAGAGAAATGGGGCAGGGGGGCAGCAGGGTAGGGACAGCATCCTGGGGGTCTTTGGGGAGCTGGCTGAGAAGTAGCACCCACGAGCCAGCACGGGTGCTGCTGCGGCACCCAGGGGTGCATGGGCAGGGGGCTGCGACCCCCAGGCTGTGTCACTGAGGTGGCAGTGGGCTGGGGGGTTGATGCCTATGGGGTGAGCCCTAATGAAAGGGGCTGTGTCCCCCCTGCTGTCTGTCAGGGCATCTGTCAGTGGGGTGGAAAATTAGCAGGGCTGAAATACGGGCTGGGGACAGCCCCACTTCAGGGGATGTTGGGGACCCCCAGTGGCACGTGGCAGGTGACTGCTGGAAGGGATCTAGGGGAGCAGGGATGAGATGGGGATGATCCCATCACCCCATCAGACTTGGGGTGCAGGCAGTGGGGCACCTCATCCCCATGCCCCAACCTCCGTGGCACCCCCAAAAGGGGTGCGCTGGGATGTGGAGGGACAATTTTTGCTCACTGAGGGTCCGCAGGGCCCCTCTGCCCCCACACCGAGCTGAGGGCCCTGCTGATAACACAGAGCCATTAATCAATTAAGGAGCTAATTGCAGTGCCACAATAGCCGCATCACTTCCCTGGGCTTTTGTGCTGCTTGCCCCGGCCGGGGCCAGGGCCATCACTCTGCGGGGCTGCAGACAGGTCCCTTTGTCAGCAGGACGGCCACCAGCCGCCCGCCCCGCGCAGCCCTGAGATTAATGGCAAGCTGCTTTCATTAACCATCATGGCCAGGGAGAGGGAATGATAAAAGAAGTCCGTGGGCCATCAGCTGGGGACTGAGACCCCACAAACTCATTGGCATGTTGGGGTGATGGGGAGCCCTCAAATCTTGCCCCCCCGAGGTGATGGGGCCAGTGCAGCAGTCCCTGGGCAGGGCTGGCGAGGGACCATCAGCAGATATCAAGTCAATATCTCTGCCTTTTTCCCAGCAGTATAAACTCCTCTCCCCCTTCCCAGCCAGGCGAACAACACAGACACAAAAAAAAAAAAGTTAAATGAACTCAGTAAAGGAATAAAAAGAGCTCATTTTTCAGGCTTATGTGAAGAAGCTGAGCCAATATCGGGGCCATAAATTAGGGATGCTGGAGTATGGTGGTGAGTGACGGCTTCGTTTGAGGGGCGAAGCGCGGCCATGACAGCCTCCCCCGGCCAAATGGATGGCTTTCCGATACCACCCGCGCCCCGCCGCCCCACAGGAGGAATAAATACAGGGTGGGATGGGACAGGGCAGGATGGGGTGGGATGGGATGCTCATCCCTCCTTGCAGTGCCACAGCTCCCAGCTGCTGCCCGGACCATTGACCCAAAGCAGTGTGAGGCAGAGCAAGGCTGTGGGGCTATTTGGGGGTGCTGGGAAAGTGGGGAGGGAGTTGTTAACAGACCCGGTGGCTGTGGGGACTATGCTGGTCCATGCTGGGCTCTCAGAGCCCTGGTGACCCCATGTCCTCTCACCCCATGGCCTTGGTGGGGGGGTGATGCTGGCGGACCAGGGTCTCTACTGGGGGCACTTGAAGGGGATTTGGGTTCAGGTCTCTTGAGGAGGGGGGCAGTGAAGGCCTTTAAGCAGTTGGGGGGCTGCTGGGGGGGGAACTGTGGGATGTAGAGTGTCTCTGGGGACTCTTGGGAGAGCCGCTTTCTATGGGGCTTAGAGTGGGGTTTTTAAGGCAGAAAACCTCTCTGTAGGGAGATTACAGGGCGAGTCCCTCCAGAAGGGTTATGCGGGGAGTCCCTCATTAGAGAGGGTTACAGGGTGAGTCTCCTTATAAACTTTAGATGGGGTCTCTTTATGGGGCTCCAAAAGGGGGTTAGAAAGAGAGTCCTTCTAGGATGCTTGGAGAGATTTGGGGGGGAGATGCTCTATAGGGAGCTCTAGGAGTTCGGTGGGGCCCCTGTGCCAGCATGCCGGGGTCTGCCCCGCTCACGGGCACAGTGCTGCTCTCCCAGGCACCCTGGGGTCCTGCCTGCACCTCCCTGTGCCTGTGGGTGCTCACCTGGGCACAGAGAGATGTGTCTGCCCTCGGGGCAGCTGGTACCTGCAGTGGCAGCGGGGACAAGGTGGGGGCTGTGTCCCCAGGCAGTGAAGCTCCCCGTGGGCTCACCCCACACCCTTTTCTTTCTCCCGTGTGCGGCCGGAAGGGACGCCTGTGAACCGCATCCCCATCATGGCCAAGCAAGTGCTGGACCTGTACACACTGTACCGACTGGTGACGGACAAGGGTGGCCTGGTCGAAGTCATCAACAAGAAGATCTGGCGGGAGATCACCAAGGGCCTCAATCTACCTACCTCCATCACCAGTGCTGCCTTCACCCTCCGCACGCAGTAAGTGCCCAGCAGTGGCGGCGGGTGGGGGGCAACCACCCTGGGGTACCCACTGGTTTGGGTGTCCCAGATCCCCCACCGGTGCCCCAAAGGGGGATGGTGGGCTCTGCCCCTTCCCAGATGCAATCCCCACCCTGGTCCCCGCTTAGCACAGGGCTGGCTGGGAGGCACATGGTGCCGGGTCTCATCCTGGCTCTCTTCCCTTGCAGATATATGAAGTACCTGTACCCCTACGAATGTGAGAAGCGGGCACTCAGCTCTCCTGGGGAGCTCCAAGCCGCCATTGACAGCAACCGTCGGGAGGGACGGAGGCAGACTTTCGGCACGGCGCTCTTCAACTACTCGCCAGCCAGCACCCCAACCCTGCTGGGCTCCCCCAAAATGCCTTTGCCGGGTCTTAGCATCTCCACACACAGCTGCGGCCAGCTCGGCCAAGTGCACGCTGTTAAGAAAGGTGGGTGAGGACCACATGGGCCCTGTGGCGGGCGTCTCTCCCCGGCGATGGACACTGCTGTGGCAGCAGGGATGTTCCCTGTCTGCTCTTACCCTTTTGCTGGGGGAAAATAGGAACAATTTTTTTCTTTTAGTCCCTCTCTGTGACTGAGAAAGGTTTATTTCTCCTGGCTTTGAAGGAGGACCAAGCCCAGATGCTGGGGGTGGTGACCCACCCTGCCCCATGCTGGTGGGATGGGGATGGCACTAGCTGGGGAAGGTGAGATGGGGTGGTGGGGGGACCCGCTGAGGTCTCTCGGTTGTTGCAGAGGACGGCATGCTGGCGGCAGCGGTGCCGGGGCGCATCGCTATCCCGGTGGGACTATCCGGCCACCATCTCGCAGCAGCCCAGGCAGCAGCCGCCTCACAGGCAGTGGTGCTGGAGCAGCTGCGGGAGAAGCTGGAGACGGGGGAACCCCCAGAGAAGAAGGTGGCCCTGACAGCGGAGGAGCATCAGCGGCTGGTGCAACACGCACTGCAGCACAACCTCCTGGCCGTCACCTCCCAGTTCCCCATGAACGTCAAGATCTCCAACCGAGGTAGCGAGCGGCAAGACCTCAGCTTGGGTCACCCCATACCCTGGCACCCCAGGAGGGAGTAGCAGCGGCCGGAGAGGAGCACGGATACCCAGAGAGGCAGAGGCTCTGCTGCTCTCTCTCGGGCAGGTTCTTGTTTCTGTTTCTCTTAACGCTCATATTGGTATTTCCTTTCCCCAGATGACAGACAGGAGACTGCATTGAACCTGTCCACCAACGGCATTAGCAGTATCAACATGTCAATAGAAATAAATGGAGTTGTCTACACAGGTAAATAGAAGGGCCGCTTGGCCCGTGTAATTGCGGCTGGGAAATCCAATAACTTATAGCCACTGCCTGGCCAGCAAGTCCTTCCTTCAATCTGATGTCTTTACTATAAAATCCATTGTAATGAAGTGGCAGGGCCTGGGGAGAGGGGGCAGGAGAAGGAGGGAGTCAGCGAGGATGGAAATTGGCCCCCAGCAGGGGCTAGCAATGAAGGGCCAAAGTTGAGGGATGGATGGACGGACGGATGGATGGATGGATGGATGGATGGATGGATGGATGGATGGATGGATGGGCAGACAGATGGACTTGGGCTGAGAAGTGCAAAAAGTCACCTGGGGTCATCCCCCACCATGGGGTCCTGCAGGCAAGGCTTGGATTTGGGGTCACCCCGATGCTGGTGTGCCCAGAGGGTCTCTGGCTGGGTGCGGGGGTTGGCTGTTTGCAGAGCATGGTGTTGGGTGCAGGGGAAGATGTTGGGGTGCTTTGCTGGAGCAGAGGCTCCTTCAGGGTGCCTATGGGCACCTGCCTGGCTAAGCAGATCACCCTGTGCCCCCCAGCTCCCTGTTTGGCCTGCTGAGACACCCCCAATTAAAATGGATGGCTTTTTTTTTCAGGACTTAAATATTTAATAAGCTGGAAAGGTCAGGGTTAATCAGCATGCGGGGCTGGCAGCCAAATTTTCCCAGGCCATCTGGGGGGCTGCCCCATGCAGGTGAGGGCAGCTTGGCCAGGAGAGGCATCGAGGGTGATGGAGGGAGCTGGAGCCTCCAGGGGTGCTGGTCCCACCCTCTCTGGCCTGGGTGCTGGGGGCCAGGCGAGCGGAGCCCCCAACCCTGGGCTTGGCCTAACCCCCTTGCTCTTGCTCCCCAGGCGTCCTGTTTGCCCGCCGGCCCCCAGGCCCCCCGGCACCCGGTGGAGGGAGCACTCAGAGCCGGCCGAACCCCATGCCCGACCCGAACCCACTGCTCCCAGCCCCTCCACACAGCCACACTCCCACCAGCACCTCGCTGTAGGGGAGGTGCTCCCCACCCTGAAAACAGCTGGGGGTCCCCAGGGCCTGAGGGGCTGAGCTGTGGGATCCAGCTGGGCCAGCAAGGTGGGATGGGGGACCCGGAGGCGCCTCTTGCTGCAATACCGAGCTGTGTCCGTGCAAGGCTGTGGGCACCCACGTGACCCCTTTTGTCCCTTACCCCATGTGTGGGACCCCTTTCCCCGCGCGTGCCCATGCACTGTCCTTCCCAGGCGCTGCCCCCAGGTGATCCCCCCCCTGTACAGCTCCTGCCTGTCCTGCTGCCTGGGGCACCCCTGGGACCCGCATGCTGCATCCCCTACACACCGCAGACCCTATACATACCTTGATGCACACACTGTGGCTCCTATACCCACCTCAGTGCATGCGCTGCAGCCCCTATAGGCACCTCAATGTGCACACTGCATCCTTCGCACTGCAACATGCAACTGCATCTCTTACACACCGCCTCCCCCATATGTATCTCTATGCACGCTGTGTTCCCTATACACACTCTTGGTGTGTATGTTGTGTCCCCTCCACACTGCATCCCCTATACACAGCCCCAGTGCACACACTGCATCCCCTATACACACCCTCGACACCCACATTACATCACCCATGCACACCCTGCATGCAACACTGCGGTCCCTATACGCTGCAGCCCCTATAAACTGTAGTCCCTATACACTACATCCCCTATATACTGCACCCCCTGCCCACTGCAGTCCCCCCAACGCAGCCCTCCCACACTGCTTGGGATCACTGCCCCCACCCTGAGACACCCCCAGGGTCTCGGGTGCCCCCTGGCCACCCCAGGGTGGTGGCACTTCAACCCCCCAGGTCCTCAACTCAGGGGAGTCACCCTGTGGGGCAGATACTGGGGATACTGGTGGGACTGGTGGGGGTGAGATGTGATGGGTTGTTGGGTGGGAGTGGAGCTTACTGAGCTGGGAGTGGAGTGGGGATTAATATTGGGTTGGGGATCATACACTGGGAGGTGCTTGTTAGTGGGGGCAGGGCAGGGATGCCCAGCAGTGCCCCCCAATACCAAAGATAGCCCGGACACCAAGGTCCCCAGCTGGAGGGCAGGGAGATGGAGGGCACCTCACCGGGCACTCCAAACTACCTCGTTGGGGCCAGGTGGGCACCTCCTCTACCCACTTATGCCCCTGGGTGCCAAAGCAGGCTAGCGTGGAGCAACGCTCACCTCTACCTCAGTGCAGGGGGGCTGGGGCTCGGTACTGCCGGGCTCCCCCCTGCACTCCCACCGCGGCCGTGCCACTCTGTG